AGGCAACCGCTCAGGGCCCTGGACCAGTAGCCCCTGAGGGCTCACAAACTTAAACCAAAGCAGTGGCTCAAAATGTGCACAGTGGGAAACCTCCCTAAAGGGGCCCCATCTGAAAGCACTCTCTCTTGTTGTTAATGAGTTAGTTTGATTTTCTAACTGGTATATAAACCTCTTACCCCCCTTGCTGATATGACTTTGTGAAGTGCTGTGCCTCCGTACCTCCAGCCGCTGCATCTCCACCACCTGGTCTTTGACGCGGTCTTTCAGGGCGGCCAGGATACTCAGCTGTCTGTCGATCTTGATCTTCATGTCTGTGATTCTCTGACGCAGACTCTGGGCCAGGTTGTAGTAGTTGTTATCGTTACCTGGTGGAAAACAGAAGGAGGTTTTATCTGATGTTGACACCTTCTTGATTTAGAAACATGTCAAAGAATCCACAACAGAAGCTTCATTTGATATACTCCATGAACATTGATTTGTAAATGTCAGCAGAGTCCAACTGAAACATTTGAGATGGTTAAACTAACCGGAGTCGATGATAAGCTTGTCCTTCAGGTAGTCATAGGTCTGTTTGGACGCCGTGTCTGCAGAACGGTGTTTGGCCTTGTTTTGTTCCAGGAGGCTGCGGATCTTCTCGATCTTCTTCAGCAGGTCGTGGTCAGATTTATCCATCAGACCCTGAATCCTGCAGCCGACGGACATTTAAAACCCTGAGACACGAGGGGAGAAAGATCAGAAGCGTCTTCTTTCCCTAAAGCTCCTGAAAACAAACTGGATTACAGATATTTAAATACGTTCTTCAAATTGTCTTCATATCTTAAGGAGGAATTCAGTGATCTTAAAACTCTTTCCTGTTCTGCATTACATATGCTTGAAGTTTGAATGACCTACAGATTATTATGAATATAATAATATATCTACTGATTAGTAGATCAGGAAACCGGATGTGAGGCTTTCATGTGATCCTTCAAACACAACAGGTCCAAAGTGTCTTAAAGTTCTTGATTCTGTCAAAGAAAGGTTCAGACTCGTGTGGTCAGACTATGTTTGACTCCTGAAATCACTTCCTTCAAAGACCCCAGACCGACAGTCTTTGAACCCTGCAGGACACGTTCCAATGTTTTAAAGGTTTGGTATGTGTGTATTACACAACAAGAGAAAACACTGTTAAGGCCGGGGGAGATCAGATACTCTCTACTCCCTCAGACTCATCAGGTCTCTCTCTGCAGGGATCCCTTCTGTTGTCAGAACAACAACCTGAGCCTGTCAGGGACACACTTCACATATCTCTGTCCTCTGATTTAAACACAGTCTCCCTTTAAGCTGTTCTGACCACTGTTGGAGAAATAATTCATGGATGATTTATTTGAGCATTCATGGATGATTTATTTGAGCACCTGAGGTTCATGTCAGCAGAATGAGGAAGCACTAACAGAACAGGAAACAAGCCGTACCCATTCGTCATCTGAGCAGAAAGGCCACTCCCTCTGAGAGGCACATTTCTCATCTCTGGTGCCGGGCTCCACTGGACGAGCTCCTCTGGGGTCCACAATGATTTCTGCCTGCACGCCCATAAAGAAGAAGTCAGAACGTTTCAATCAAATGTTCTCATCAGTTTAAGAAAACCCCAGAAAAAGATTTAGGATTCTAAGTTCATGTGTTTTTAGTTGTCTTCAGTTTGAGGAACAGCGTCTAAACCAAAGTTCAGTCACTCTGAATCTCTGATTTATCAGTTTGTTTTTAAGCCCTGAGTTTACCCTGCAGGTTTCTTAAAGTCAGAACTGTGATACAGAGACTGAATGTGTTCTCAGAATGAAGGGTTAGGGTTAGGTAAGGGTCTCACCCTTAAAGGAGCAATCTTTAACTCACACCTAGTGTTTAAAATGGGTACTGCAGTCTAAACATTACAGAGAGCTGAATGAATATTCAGAGTAAAGTTAGCTTTGTTATAAAACTGTCTGAATCATGTCCCCTCATTCCATCGTTATCTCAGCTCGTTTTAAAATATTTAAAGTTTGAGTCTCACCAGAGTCGATGCCACACAAATCAAAGCGAGACAGACGAGGCGCTCCATCTTGGTATCCTGTGAGTGACGGCTGCTCTCTGAACGATGTTTGAAGCGGAGTGACGGCTGCTTCCTAAATGATGTCTGATCGGCCGTCTGACCATTTAAAGCCTCTGGAGGTTACTCGTGTTTGTGCTGATCGATCGGAGGCTGTTTGTCGTACTGTGTGTATCTTTGCTGAACCCCGCACTGAACAAACTGACCACCCCACTTTACTGATCCAGGAGGTTACTGGTGCTTGACCCGGTGTGCTCTCTGAGAGCAAACAGTGACTAACAGCACGGAGAGTCAACATGAGGAGTCCTGAAATAATGAATCACTGAGAGCCGTCTGTTGATGTGTCGTCCTGTTTAACTCCTCATTCTCTAGTTTGATGTTTAAATTACAAAATAAAATGTTCCTGTGACGATTCAGAGGGACTGCAGAGAGGCTTCAGCTTTCTCTCCTTTTGTGACTTTAATCATTTTCACTTTAATAAAAACATTTGATTTCTTCTTTAGTCATGAGGTCAAAGTTCATTCAGGAACTCTTCAGCTGGTCCTGATGTCTGTCTGAGGACGAGCGTCGCCCCCTGCTGTTGGAACAGAGGTATGACTGTCACCTGTCAGAAACATCACAACCGCACTGAGAAGTTTCTGTATTAACCAGGAAGTCAAAAAACAAATGTTCCTGCTTGAAGACAGAAAATCATGAAATCAGATTTTTAACGCTGAAGAACAGCTGGAGACACGTGACGAATGAGCCTCGTCGTTTTGTTGACGTGTTCATTAAAGAGTTTTTACACCTCTGTGAAAGTCTTTAACATCTCTCTTACTCCTGGATGTTATTATTCAAATCATTAGCAGATCATTTCACTTCTGTGACCCTGAACTTCCTCCAGTGTGCACTGCGTGTCTGCTCTGTTACGGCTCCTTCTCGCCCGTCACCCACCAGCGGCGTCCTCCGTCTGCAGCACGGAGAGCGCCGCCGTCAGCTGGAGTGCCGAGACAAAAGAATTCAAAGGAATCCTCGCCGTAACTTTACAGATTCACTCTGGACAGCACGAGTTAATACGATGAATGTATAAAACTGGATATAAACACACAGAAGGTCCAATCAAAGTATTTTATTCTGAAATTAAACAGGATGTTGTAATGTTTCTGACTTCCTGTCCCACTCTGTGGTTCATTGATGCTCCGTGCTGCAGAAACAGAAGCTTTGTGTTTCTGCAGCAGACGATGCAGCAGAGACGGAGGAAGAACACGAATAAAGTCCTCTCTGCTCAGATCATGATTCATTATTTTCATCATGAAGGGAAAGAATTGTAGATTTAATATGTAGAGAAGACAAATCTGGGTCTGTTTGAGCCTTTAAACAACAACACCAACACGTTACTGTTCACATTAAAGGTCAGTGAGCTGTGTAGAGAGTGAGATGATAAAGGTATCTTACTCTCTGATCATTAAGGAAACATGCTATGTTGAAGTGCTGGCTTCTCTGACAACAATGCAGCAGCCAGTATGTCCTCCTTCTAACTTTAGATTCTGCTCCTGAATGCTCTGGATGGTAGAGTCTATGCTTCGCTGAGCATCCCCAGCTGAGCAACATGTCCGATGTGTCCTTGGGGAAGACACGTAACCCTGAATTGCTTCTGTGGTGGTGTATGAATGGGATTAGTTACTTCTGATGGATGATACTACATAGCGACCACTACCATCAGTGTGTAAAAGGGTGTGAATGTGTGTGTGTGACAGGCGGTGTGAAAGAGCTTTAAGTAGTCGGAAGACTAGAAAAGAGCTTTATAAGCTCAAGTCCATTTACTATTTGTTTGGACCAGAGAAGGTAGGTGCTTTTAAAGCACCCCCACACGGTCTCTGTTCTGTGGGTTAGGGTTAGGGGGTCTCTGTGCTGTGGGTTAGGGTTAGGGGGTCTCTGTTCTGTGGGTTAGGGTTAGGGGGTCTCTGTGCTGTGGGTTAGGGTTAGGGGGTCTCTGTTCTGTGGGTTAGGGTTAGGGGGTCTCTGTGTGGTGGGTTAGGGTTAGGGGGTCTCTATTCTGTGGGTTAGGGTTAGGGGGTCTCTGTGTGGTGGGTTAGGGTTAGGGGTCTCTGTGTGGGTTAGGGTTAGGGGGTCTCTGTGTGGTGGGTTAGGGTTAGGGGGTCTCTGTGCGTGGGTTAGGGGGTCTCTGTGTGGTGGGTTAGGGTTAGGGGGTCTCTGTGCTGTGGGTTAGGGGGTCTCTATGCGGTGGGTTAATCTGTGGGTGGTGAGGTAGGGTTAGGGGGTCTCTGTGCTGTGGGTTAGGGTTAGGGGGTCTCTGTGTGGTGGGTTAGGGTTAGGGGGTCTCTGTGCTGTGGGTTAGGGTTAGGGGGTCTCTGTGTGGTGGGTTAGGGTTAGGGGGTCTCTGTGCTGTGGGTTAGGGGGTCTCTATGCGGTGGGTTAATCTGTGGGTGGTGAGGTGATGCAGGAGACTGAAGCTGCTCATACAGACGTTACACTCAAAGGGCTTCAGGCCTGTGTGAAGGCGGATGTGTTTGTTGAGGTTGCTTTTGTTGTTGACTAGTTTCCCGCACTCTTTGCACTCGTAAGGTTTCTCCCCAGTGTGGTTCAGATGATGGTTCCTCAGGCTCACTGCTTGAGTAAAGCACTTCCCACAATGTGAGCAGCGGTACGGTCTCTCTGCAGTCTTGTCACACTTGTGACTGGTCAGCTCAGTGAGGCGGTTTCTCCCCTGTGTGTATCATTTTGTGTTTTTTTAAGTTGTTTCTGTTGCTGAAGGATTTAGGGCACAGTGTACACTTGTGGGGTTTCTCTCCTAAGTGGGTAATAGGGTTAGGGTTAGGGTTAGGGCTGTGATCTGCCAGTGACCTCTGCAGTCCAAAGTGTTTGGGACACAAATCACACTGGTACGGTGTCTCCCCTGTGTGGACCCGCTCATGCCTCTTCAGTTTTGCCAGCAGCTTAAAGCTTTTGGTGCAGCAGCTGTACGGCCTCTCCTCACAGTGACTGACCATGTGTGTTTTCAGGTCTCCCTTCCGGGCGCAGGTCTTGCCACACTGTTTACACGTGAACAGTTTGTCCCCTGAATGAATCAGCTGGTGCTCTTTCAGAGTGCCCTCCCTCCCAAACTGCCTCCCACACACATCACAGATGTATGGTTTCTCTCCAGAGTGGATGAGGAGGTGCTGCCGCAGGGCTCCCGATGAGTAGAAGCTCTTCATGCATTGTGTGCAGACATGAGGTCTCTCTCAGGGTGCTTCTTCAGATATGTCTTCACTCTTTTCTCTGTGAGCGTGCACATGCCACCGTAAGTGGCGTTCAGTTCTGAAGGTCAGGCTGCATTGGTTGCAGGGGTACATCCCCTCCCCCGTCTGCTCTGACTCTGGATGACTCTGACGCTGCTCCTCTTCCTGAAAGATTTCCCACAATGCTCACACTGGTGACGCCGCGGTCTGGACGAGTCTTCCTGCTGGTTCGTCTCTAAAGTTTTATTGTTGGAGGACACAGAGGAGAGAGAGAGAGAAGATGAAACCAAACCCTCTTTGGGGTTTTCAGACGTATCAGCCTGACAGTAAGTCTCTAAATCCTTCAGGTTCAGATTCAAACATCCGGGCTCCTCGGCTTCTTCTTCATGTGGCACCAACGTGGTGACATCATGTGAAGAGCGGGTCTGTGACTTGGTGTCACAAAGTTCCTGATCCTGTTTGAGACTAATGACGCCCACCTGAGCTGCCGCCGCCATCCCCCTGAATAAACAAAGGCTTCACATCAGTAAACATGTGACTCCACTGCACTTGATCTAGAACGTTCAGTTACCTCGCGGTAGGAGTCGTCGTCACAGATATCTGCTCCAGTGTCGCACCGGTCTGGGTGCTGGTCCAGCTCGTCCTCGTTCAGGTACATCAGCTGGTTTCCTGCCTCGTCATCCTCCTCTTTCAACTCCAAGTCCATGCTGGCCTCAGTCTGCTCTGCTGCCAAGTGGACCATCTGGCTTCTCAGTCCTGGAGTTCTCATGCAGTCCACCAAGCAGACAGAAAGACCCCTCACCACGAGGACCCGGGGTCCATCTGTAGGGAACGGGTCATTTATAAAACCACATTTAAAACAGGAACATGATGCAGCCCGGCGCCACACCAAACACTGAAGCAGGAACCCTGCAGAACCAGTGATCCAGGTCTCTGTCTGTTCATCATGAGTCTGGTTCTGATCCAGGTTTCTGTCTGTTCTACATGAGTCTGGTTCTGATCCAGGTCTCTGTCTGTTCTACATGAGTCTGGTTCTGCTCCAGGTTTCTGTCTGTTGATCATGAGTCTGGTTCTGATCCAGGTCTCTGTCTGTTCTACATGAGTCTGGTCCTGATCCAGGTTTCTGTCTGTTGATCATGAGTCTGGTTCTGATCCAGGTCTCTGTCTGTTCTACATGAGTCTGGTTCTGATCCAGGTTTCTGTCTGTTGATCATGACTCTGGTTCTGATCCAGGTCTCTGTCTGTTCTACATGAGTCTGGTTCTGCTCCAGGTTTCTGTCTGTTGATCATGAGTCTGGTTCTGCTCCAGGTTTCTGTCTGTTGATCATGACTCTGGTTCTGCTCCAGGTCTCTGTCTGTTCTACATGAGTCTGGTTCTGATCCAGGTTTCTGTCTGCTGATCATGAGTCTGGTTCTGATCCAGGTTTCTGTCTGTTGATCATGACTCTGGTTCTGCTCCAGGTCTCTGTCTGTTCTACATGAGTCTGGTTCTGATCCAGGTTTCTGTCTGTTGATCATGAGTCTGGTTCTGATCCAGGTTTCTGTCTGTTGATCATGAGTCTGGTCCTGATCCAGGTTTCTGTCTGTTGATCATGAGTCTGGTTCTGATCCAGGTTTCTGTCTGCTGATCATGAGTCTGGTTCTGATCCAGGTTTCTGTCTGTTCTACATGAGTCTGGTTCTGATCCAGGTTTCTGTCTGTTGATCATGAGTCTGGTTCTGCTCCAGGTTTCTGTCTGTTGATCATGACTCTGGTTCTGCTCCAGGTCTCCGTCTGTTCTACATGAGTCTGGTTCTGATCCAGGTTTCTGTCTGTTGATCATGAGTCTGGTTCTGCTCCAGGTTTCTGTCTGTTGATCATGACTCTGGTTCTGCTCCAGGTCTCTGTCTGTTCTACATGAGTCTGGTTCTGATCCAGGTTTCTGTCTGCTGATCATGAGTCTGGTTCTGCTCCAGGTTTCTG